CCCGTAGCAAGAGAAAGGTGAGCAGCTGACAACTGCTCTCACTGTTCAAGGACCTAGCAGGTTCTTCACAAAGGGTCTTTCATGCAGGGCTTTTGGAATTTATGGGGTTCAGGCCAAGCGGTATGAAGTCCGTCAACACGGCCTCGGCATCGATGGGACAAAGATCCCATGCAGCCGCTGGACACTCGGGCTGGTCCTCCGCTGCAATTTGAATCAGAGCCCTTTATGGGTTCCTTTAAGCCTCCCTGCAGGGCTCCTTTTAGGGCTCCTTTTAGGGTTCCTTCTACGGTTCCTTTTCCGGTTCCTGTTTGGGTTCCTTGTAGGGTTGTTGTAAAGGCTTCTTTCAAGGGTACTATAGGGTTTCATCATCCAGCCCTGCAGGGTTCGTTTAAAGGTGTGGCTGAGGCGTCTCAAGCTTGCTATCACTGTCTCAACACTCGACTGCCAGCACGCCTCCACCCATGGACCCTCGTAGGAGATTCCGCTGACCTTCAGGATTCTTCCGAATTAGAAAAACACGATTCCGATTCCCGCCGCCTGTTTCGCCTTCGACTGTTGCAAGAAGATGTACAAAGTCACCAGGTAAGTGCATGAACAACTGCTACTGGCTCATGCGCAACTTCGAAGGCATTTCTTGGAAGCCCTCCAGTCTCTTGCACAATCGCAGAGAGCAATTTTCGGAACTTCAAAGACGAAGAGTGCAGGATCTGTGGCCTGATCACCGGCCTTGCCCACACCGTGCCGCCGACCAGCCTCCCAACCGGCTCTTTTTAGTTGAGGCACTGGTGAGGCTTGGGCTGCTTTGGGAGCCATGGAACTTAAACCGCTCGGAGGTGCAAAAGAAAAATGTACTTCACATCCACTCCTTTCTGACACGTTCCCTTGATTGGCAGCCCCGCCATGTCAGTCATGGCATTAGTACACACACGCAAAATCCGTCATGCGAAACCAGATGGAAGGTAAAGTTTCTGCCAGTGTCCGATTCCTCCGACTGCTTCGCTTTGCCGACCCTACCCTCGAAAGCACCCGCTCGCTGCAACAAAAAACGGTGAAATGGTCAGGTTCAGAAAAGACTCCATGAGAACCGGATTCTGAGCATCCTTTGGACGCGGAAAACCCAGAACCCCGAGTCCGGAACCCAACAACACGATGCCCAGAACATGGAGCCCTCCATCGTAGCCTGGAAATCTCCGACGTAAGTGGAGGCTCCGTCCCTCTCCTGACAACTTGAACTGAACGATTTAAACACAGCGGTTGAGCCAGGGCACGCTCAACTCGTAACTCCCAACCTTTTTAAGCTCCGAAGCACTGCACCTGAACCCTTTCTCCTAAAAACCCTAGACCTGCAGATGTCCCTTGATCCTAAACCCTATACCCTTAACACCAAACTACCTTCGAGCCTGGTGACTTATGTGACATGTTCATTTCCAACATTGTGACTTGCTATATATTATAAGGTGGTAGTATCACATACGATATTGTACTATATGACATTACATGGAAATACAGGACGTCTCATGACATCTAAAGGTTTTACATGGTATTCTATGATACTAAACAACCACATTCAATGATACTCTATGACACTCTGTGATATTCCATGATATTCTGCGATATAATCTGGCATAGTATGATGATATTGTATGATAGTGTCTGATAGTAGCTGATGTTAGATGATATTGTATGATCTTGTATGACTATATGGTGGTATAGCATGATGTGACATGGAAGCATGGGATACGATTGGATTGGATAGGACAGCATAAGACGGGATAATGCGTGATGAGCCGTTGGTGGTCCTCGTGGTGCTGGTGGTCTTGTTCGTGTCGGTCGTCTTGCTCGTCGAAGTCGTCATGGTCGTCATGGGGAGCTCTATCACTGTATGGGGATCAACGCTGACAGTGCTGGCATCCTACATGTACATCGACAGAGAGGAGAGAGCGAGGGAGAGAGAGAGAGAGAGAAAGAGAGAGAGGGAGAGAGAGAGAGAGAGAATCAACATACTTCGCTTGTGCAGCGTTGTTAATGACGACCATCACATGGTTTTCACCCGGGCAACCTTTGAGAGCTTTGTTGCACATGCATAGACAGTTGCACAAATCATGCACATTTCTCCCCATTTCTCGTCAAAAGAGATTCGATGTGTGGTTAGACCATTGCGCGGTTTGGCCTGTGCACGACACGAAACATGAGGAAAGGTGGGGCTATTGTTGGCACGGTTCATCGCTTAATTCCAGCGCTTTTTTTCCGGCCAAATATCTCCCACCTGCCAGTGTTAGCATACTCTTGTTTAGCAGGGTTGTGTTTCCAGGTCTGACTAAGATGCACGAAAAGTAGCAAATGAGATGAAGCCCGCTCTTGCTGCATCAAATAGTAAGTAATACATTGAACTCGTAATGCAACACCACACCTTAAAAAGAAAATGCCCAGGTTTCGCATAGCATTATCTAGAACAGACTTTACAACATCCACGTTGCATGCCCAGACTACAAAGTCCGCATACCTTCTTCTGAAGAGCCTTTTGACTGGAGGATGCACCGATTCGTGTGCAATGCAAACCTGGTCTCTTACCATCATGGTTATCAAAACAAATCTCCATGTTCATGCTTGTTCCGGAGCCGTCCTGGAGCTCCCCATAACCGTGGCGAAGGCCAACTTCGAAATAGCCCTCGTAGTGCATGGCCTGGCGATTCTCTCCCGACAGCCCTCATGAAGGGTCCCCTGATTTTAGGAAGTGTTGGAAGCCAGAGATGGACCTCCACGGCTCTCAGAATATGATATGTAATAGTCAAGCAAATACCATGTAGCAATGCTGTATTAGTTAACCGGTACTTTCTTACAGGTTATTGCTAAAACTGCTTCTACGCTCGCTTCTTGCCATGGCATGCTGGTGGCCTTGCTCGGCTGGTCATGAACCCCACGTCCGTGGAACTTGTGTGCTCTGAAGCCACCAACATACCTGGCCAAGTTTAGCAGGTATCCCGCGGCTGAGGTATCACGGAGGTCCAAGAGGGATCGCTCGCGACCGACACCTAATGGAGCCATATGTCTGAAATATTCAAAACAATGGGCAAAATTCACACGAGACAGCGAGCCTGTCTCCACTAGGCAAGCACAAGGTGCCCTCGCCGGAATAGAGACCCTGAGCGTGAAGACGTCCGTGCTTAAGGTAGTGATTTCCAGCTTTGAAGAAACTGAGGACAACTGGATGAAAGTTTGTCGGTCTCGCCCCTGTGGTCGACTTTGACTGAAAAGAAGTTCAGTCTTATATAAAAATGTACTGTGTCATATCATGCTGTGTTTTTCCTCTACTATATCCATTATACTATTGAAAAGACTTAAAGCCGCACATGCGAAGCCTCTGACAGGGAGAACAGCAGGAGTCTCAGAGACGGGAAAAGAACCCCAGTCAAACCGCAACCTGACAACCTCAAGGTGAAGACCCGATTAAAGGAACATTCTGCCTCGTGCGAAGGGGCTCTAGACTGTTGGATTCAATCGGGAGTCTTGGGGCGTCTACAGTCCACGGGATTCCAACGCGGGATGCACCATGAGAGCCCCACATGGGCCCAGCTGCCAGTGTACTGGGTGCCGTCGGTCTTGTTCAGCACACCCTGGCCGTGCTTCTGGCCTGCAGAACAGATAAGGACCATCACCATACACCCCAAGATCCCTTTATCCCGTGACCCCAAGCCCACGTGATTGTTGCTTGTTCTGCGGACTTCATGGCCTGGTCACCAAACGCATTAGGCGCCAAGCGTTCCCACCATAAACGTCCGCCCAGACCCGATGCTTCCCGACTGGCCCCTGTATTCGTCAAACGAGTGCAACCAACAAGTAGCATGCTAAACCCTAAACCCTAAACCCTAAATAAACAGCAAACCCTAAGCCCTAAACCATGCCTGCCAAGAAGTCCCCGACATAGACGTTGCCGTGGAGCTCGTGACGACCAGAACCAGATATCTCTCCGGCCTGCGGAACCCGATAGAAGTCTGCGCTCTTGTTGAAGAGCTGCTGTTTCACATAGGTCACTACGGAAGAAATGACATGGCTCAATCTCTGTATACGTGCATGTGCTCATATACACACACGCAAACTCACCCACCCCTAGTGGTACCTCAACCTAACGCTCTTAAACGAGAGCCCAACATCGGATTGCAGACAGCGGACTTCACATGCAGACTACCGCTGCGGAGCTCCATTGCAGTGGAGTAGCACATGATTGAACTTCTGCAGCCTCGAAGCAACCTTCGTAGAAGCCGTCCTCTCCGAAGGTCAGTCGACCCTGTCAAGGACCAGAAGCAACAGAGTCCGTTCGGGCTTGTGTTGAAACTTGCCTGACCATGCTTCTTGCCATCGAGCCATTCACCTGCCGCCCGCTGCGGAGCGAAGCAGTGCAACTGAGGATTCTCCAAAATCAAGCGGAGCACAAGACTAGCCGAAAGGACGACTTGAACAAACTGTCTTGCCACACTCTGTACGACTGCACGATTCGACTTGCGAAATGTACTGTGCTGCTTTGGAACATCGACCCCTGGCCAACGACTGCAAAAATTCATGCAAACATCTCTACAAATGCCCAATTTGGCCCTCAGATGACGTGCCTTCATAAACAAAGTACGGGTTGGTGTAGAAATACGTCCCTCGACCTGACATCTGAGCCAATGTTCAAGCCAGAGGCAGCAAGCCTCTAACCGTCATCGCGGAACTGTCGCAGCTACAACATGCTGATGACTTCGCACATGCTACCACAAACACCACAGCAACACAGACAGTCTGTTGTGTGGGCCTTGCCTTCTCGCTGACCAGAAGAAATCGAAACTTCACCTTCATACCTGCAGAAATCGTGTGGATTGCAGGCGATGGTTTTGGCTTTCGAGGAACCGCACACGTGGAGGTCGACAAATCTATCAAAGACAACGACAACAAGGTTTTGAAACTCAAAAACAAAACGGAGCGGCGTGGCCACAACCTTGCCGGCCTTGCTCCTGCATGATTCTTCTCACGCTGGGCCAGATGAATGGTCGACGAGGCCGTGCACATGGGAACGGCTCACGGAACCAGAAATCTGCAGAAACCGCTAAGCACCAAAGCTGACTAGACTGTCTTGCCAAAGTTAGTGAAATGAGCTTGAGGTCTAAATTTTCCACTGTGTAACACACCTTTATCACCGGCATGTTTGCATTGCCAGATGTGGTCAACATCATGCAAATTTATCAATGACACTACATGACAACATGGCATGGACTCTGACCAAATGGCATGCTAACAATCATGCACCCAAAGTGTAACGCACTCTTGATGTTGGGATTTAGTGCCAAATCAGAAAAATCCCGCTGTGCAAACTCATATAAACACGTTCATGCAGTGCCTGCCTTACATTCACAAAATTTTTTAAGAAAACGATTGAGCATCTCACCTAAGCCCAAAGCTAGACCCACCTGTCCGGAAATTGGGGACCAGTGCGTGTTACGCAGCATGACAAGATCGCCCCAGACTTCAATGAAATGAATGTGTAACCCCGATTGGGCCCGCTTGGTCTTCCAGTTCTTCTCGATTGCATTGGCAATATAGACACGTCCAATCGCTGGACGGCCGCAGACACGGCGCAGACTCAACGAATCGCTTGCTGAAGCAAACTCAGATTCTGAAGTGCTTTCCACGGGCCCACTTTTGTGTCCGGAAATTATCAGGATTTCGGTGACTGCTGTCAAGGGCCTCCAAATGCCGCAATTTGATTGTTTGAAGCGAAGATGTGTTCAAGACAAGCAGCGACTGCGTGCTTGTTTGTGAGCAATCTAGCTGCACACTTTCCTGCAGGCTCAGAAAACGGTTCTTTTGGGCCCGCATTGAAAGGCAATTTTTTCAGACCATCAAACTACATGCCCACTTGGGTCTGGACGCAGGTTGAAAAGGCTCAAAGGCGAGTCTTGGCGGCTCACGAATTGCCTCAAACCGACCAAGCGGGCAATTTGACAGGTGAGAAAACGCTGCTGAGAATCACCTCTTAGCACAACAGGGGTGCGCCAGGCGTAGGAAACGGCCCGGCGAAGGAAACAGCCATCGGTCGGCGACAGCCTGCAGCATTTCTTCCGCAAGAAAAAAAGACGCCGGAGGGAAACTGTGCTACTGCAAGTTGCCCTGCTTGCTATGCTTTGGGATTTCTGACAACTTGACTTGTCCTGAGAACAGGTCACCTCCATGCTTGTGGAAAGCGCACGAAACCGTATTTCACTTTTGGTGGAGACTGACACTTCGCGTTTGCTTTTGGGTTAGGGGTGCTAGCAAAAAACTTGCCAGCCCATGTGGATGTGGAACACGGTCCGGCAGCACTTGCAGCAGCACACACAGCCAAAACGTCCAGGTCCACTGTCTGGCCTTCGTAGCTGTAAAGACACGACGACTCCAGCTTGATGGAGCGCACCTGCAAGTTTTAGAACCTTTTTTTTGCGTGGATAGGCCTCGTCGACAGCGGCTGCCGCACTCGGTCCTAAGGTAAGCAACAAAAAGCAACAAAGACCAAGAAAGCTACCAAAAGCGGTGAAACATGCTGCGACTTACAGACTTAGTCGGAAAAGGTCGTTCAGCAGTTAATTACCAGCCTCATATGAACATCAGCCCCGCTCAGATGCCCCGCTTCCCAGATTTCAGGGTCGCGCAATGGCAAGTGCCACAAACTCCTATCAGCAGAGGAAATAATCATATGACAAATATGGCAACTCAGAATAATCAAATATATGAAACTGCACGTTGCAATCACTCGCGGACTGACGTTTTGAACCGCATGGGCTCCACGAAGGTTGGTCTCTGCACACGCCGCGAGCCACGTCAAGCCCCAGTCCTAAGGCGAGCGATGCATGGGCCACACGGCGCAGTATGCACACGGCACATGCCGTGATGCACACAGCACATGCCTGAGCATGACACAATACCAGCACTAGGCCTCTATCCAGTCGAGGATGTCATCATCGGACACAGAGCACTTAAGCTTGGCATCCATGTTGGAAAAAATCATCCCTGGAAAGAGGATCTGCCGGGTTGGAAGCACTCGGCACTCGTTCGTACCAGCAGAAGCTGTGTAGCGATTCCTCAAGCTGGCACACTCTCAAGGTGATGGCGTGTCCCAAAGGGCTGGAGCTCCAACATCGGATCAGAGCTCCATGTACCCCTTCGTTGTCGGTGTAGAGCACGACATTCCTTTTGCAGAGCCGCTCCCGAAACAAGTTAAAAGCCGCCAAAACAGCAAGGCGCTCCAATTCAAATATGATTGTTTCGCGCTCCTCGCCTTGCCAGTGCAGAAGTTCTTCAACAAGTTTCGGATGGGTCCGATGCCCAAACCAATGAAGAACCTCTCCTGTGCTGCCGAAGACAACGCCGCCAATGCCACAGAATCCACCATCCGGTTCGAAGGACGCGTCCACGAACACGTGGACGACGTCGCCAAGTGCAAAAGAAATCTCCCTCTCCTTGCCACCTTCAAGCATTTCCAGAAGCTGACTGCAGGCATCCACCATATCTCTGCCCATTGCATACGAGGACTGTTGCCTATGCTTGGCCACCGATTCGGCACCCAGCACGGCGGCCTATGCTCCCAGCCCCACAAACACTCGGCGAGCGTAGGGAGCGCGCGCAGGTTGTCTAGCTCGCTGAGATGTATCTTTCCACCAGCCCCGTATCCATGGACAAAGGCCGGCCCGATGCTCGCCTCTCCCTTATTGGGCAGGCGTTTGTTCATGAACAAACCCGGCCCTGGCAGGCAGCCGATCCTGCAGGTGGCGTTGCTCAGCGCAAAGAGGGTGGAGTTGGCACACTGCTCATGCGCACCACGCGCCCAAAGTAGCGTCTCTGGGTAGGGCTCTAGAGCCGTCGCCAGCAGTTCCGACGGCGCGGGAACCCGGCATGCAACGGAAAAGGATCCGTCCGAGTCAGCACGCCAATAAAAGTCCTGCAGGAGGAAGCCAAGGTACGCCCACACCGTTGCCACATCGCCTGAATGCCTTGCCTGGGCGCCCATGAGCGGGGTGCCGGCGAGCAGCTCCGCCTGTCTCCAATCGCCCTGAGCGACGTTGCGGGGCAGAGTAACTAGCAAGGCAAGCTTGGCTAGCAGCGCGGGCACCAACTCGGCCGCCCAATCTGCAATGAACCCTGGGCCCGGGCGCATTTCCTCATCGTATCGTCTGAGGCCGTGGTCGCCGCGTGGTCCCCCATGCGAACATCGTAGTAGATAATCTTCATAGCCGTTCGTGGCCCTCCATGCCCTGGGCCTGACCCCCAGCTCGCAGGGAGGAGACCCTGGCTGCGCCGCGAAAATAGAGAGCCCTCCTTGCGCATCGGTCGAGGGCTCCGAGACAAACATGACCGCGCTGCCGCGTTGGCTTGTTGTCCCGGGAAGCAGAAAGACGTTCCCTCCGGCGAGTAGTCCCAAAGCGACTCCTCCAAAGGCTGTCCCTCCTCTTGATCCATCGTGAGATCTGCCGCCGTAAGTACAAGCTCCTGCAGGTCGCGCACCTCGAAGAGCGAGGTGGGAGCGGCGTCATGATTTGCAATGATGATGTGCTTACCGGGAAGCAGGGTAGTGAGTAGCCAAAGCGCATAGACCTTGCCCCACCATACAGGGCAGTCCGTCAACGATGTGTCGTCGCTGATCGGCACAAAGAGGACAGCATGCCTTTCACCATGCCTGCCAACCCATTGGCACCGATTGAGGATAAGCGGTAAAGTGTGCCGGGCATGCTGGTACGAAGGCACTTCTGACGTGTCCGTAAAGAGCCATATAGCGTAGCTCAGGAGAATTCCTGGCTCAATAATGTGAGGTAGAATGGCCCGCGCGAGCCTGCCCAACGCAAGGGGGGCCCGCTGATCACCTGGGGGGCCGCTTACTGCTTGCAAGCAGCAACGGGACTTCCTGCGACGTTCGTAGCTCTTGAAACCCATACCATGACTCAAAGGGATCTTGTGGATTGACAAGGCCAGTCCACCGCCTACGTCCTTGCCCACGCTGCTTCTCAATCAACGAATTCACAGCCGCCACCCAGCTCCGGCCCAGTTGCTCATAGTCAGCCAAGACCACAATATCGCAGCTCGGGTGCACAGCGACGTAGGCATGCCCCGTTAGAAAGGCCGCGGGTGTGCCAACCAAGGGGCACAGATAATTGATGACAGGTTGGCCGTTCACAAGGCAGTGCCACGCAGCGTCCGCCCCCTCAGCAAAGGGCCGGATCACGGGTCCCAGCACCTGTACTACCAGTTTGCCCTCGTAGCAATGAAGGTGCACCGCACCCTCCCAGCAGAGGTCCTGGTACACCGCCGCCTGCATAAGTGACATGTACGGCAGCTTAGCCGACGGCGCACCTTGCGACCGAGTCACGTGCGAAAAAAGGCTCGCAGCCGTTCATGTCCCATCCATTCATCCGCCTGGGCAACCATATTGGCATCTTCCACCATGGCTGCCCCCCTAGTCTACGGGGTGGCATCAAGACGAATGTCCGAGCCACCCCTCCTGAGATGGCAGCGCACAAGCGGGTTGAGGATATCGATGATGAGCAAGCGACTCTACGTGAAACGCAGTGCCCGACTTTTTAGCACGCCGCAACAAGCCTTGTCCCTAAAGTCACGCACTCAGATAGAATGTCCGATATCCTTGCCGCTGGCTCCGATCGATGTCGGTGTTGGCACGGATGTCGGACGTGGTCAACTTGCTTGAACCAGATGCGGCACGTCTCACGCTCAGGGCTCTGCCACCCGCAGTGATTCTCGATCACCACCAAGTTCGAGCCCACGGAGGCGGCAAGCAGCAGAGTCACGTCAATGAAGGCATCCGACGGAGCGAAGGTGCCGTTCTGCAGGATGTCGTAGTAGAAGATATCTCCGCCCCTGACATTGATGCCCGCATCCAGCGCCATCCAATGAGGGACCGCCCTCGGCAGGGCAGCACCTACCCACTGTGAAATACAAAGGAGGCAGACGCGGGCTCGAGCGGAATCGCTCGGCCATGCAAAGGAGGGCTCCAGCATGCACCGTCGAGCTCATAGAAGCTAGTTGCAACTGAGAAGCAGGTCGCCACAGTGCACAATCTCACACGTTTTTTGCTAACCCGCAAGCGACCCTCAACGTCCGCCAGCTTATGCCGCCCAGCGAGGACTCATGCTCACGCGCGGCAGAAGCCCTGGTAGCCATGCCGTTCCGCAAGATCGTAGTAAGATGCAATCCCACTGGAGGCGTCCCGAGGATCGGCAGCCACATATTTGAGCCACGCAGTGCGTCGCTCAGCTTCGACGACGACCAAATTGCAATTCGAGATCGAGGCGAAGCTGACGAACGCGGCATCCACGTCTCGCGACGTGCTGATCTGAAGCACGTCATGACGCGGGACGTTCAAGTGGCTGGCAAGCGGCTCCCAGCGTCCCGGGAGAATGGTGCTGCCCAGGTGCAGCACCAAATCAGCTAGCGGAGGCCCAGCGAAGGCCATGGCTCCAGGAAATAGTCGTCCCCCCCCTGCTAGACAGACCTGAAAAGCTTAGTGGAGCCCACCGCCGAATGGCGTGGCTCTTGGGAAGCTAGCCAATGTGCAGCGGGCAAATCACAATCCTAAGGCAGGCGTCGGAGCGGCACTACTTCACACCACGCACATCTCATTTTTTATCCGTCATAACAGCTTACTAGGTACTCTGGCAATGGAGCTACACAGTAGCAAACGTACCGTGTCCCACAATCTATGGTAGATGGCTAGCCCAATCGGCGTGCAATCTACGTCATGAGTCGACGCGTGGAAGCCAGGGTCTGCTTTGGCTACCAACAAAAAGCCGGGAGACGGTGACAGGGGCCGCGTATGCAACTGCCTCCACCAGGGCTTGGCCCAGCACCAGGCTCGCCGCCGGTGCATCCTCAGAGAGGAGTTCATGCACTGCCGCCTCGTTCCCACTTCTCACTGCGGCACGAAGTGCACGGCCCCAAAGTTCGGCTCGCGGCCGTTCTGTCTCCATCGTAGACGTTGCCAAGCGCCCAGAGCTCATGTAGCGCCTCAATACGGCCACCTGTGCGGGGTTCCCCCGCAAAGCTGCCAGTTCCAGGGCCTTCTGTCCCTCCAGACCCGGCTGGCTCCCGCTGCTGGCCATGGCGAGGACGCGCATCAGCCGGGTTGATCAAGGGGCAGCACGCAAACCCCCCTACCGCTCCACAGACGCGTTCCAGAGAGCCGGGGTCGTCATATTGTAGAGAGTCCCTTAGGAGTGTTTGTCGTGCGGTCACGGTGAACTCCTCCTCGACCGGGCACGTTATGATAAGCTGGTACGACCCTTGGGGACTATCCCGGAGGGGTCCTCCTTGAACGATGCCAGTGTCGCGTCGACGGGGTGCAGCCGCCCCCACCCTTCATTGTGCCCAGAGAGCACCGTGGCCGCCCACGGCAGATCGTCGTGCAAGACCGGCTCGTTCACCGAACAGAAAAGGTGCCCATCGGGACGGTAAACGGTGACCGACCCTCACGGCCCCAAGACTGCAGGCATTCAACTGCGACACGATGCTTGGTCTCCCGACCGCCATCGTCTCACCTGCTCTCGCCAGCACGTGAAGGGCCCTGGCCCTCCAGAGTCCCATGACAAGCCCCAAGACTGGTCAGCCAGCCCACATATTGATAGTGTCGAGCGACCAAGACGAGCACCCAATCCACAGAAGATCAATGAACCAGTGCGGAGCCGCCGAGCAATACCTACCGAGCTCGGACAGGACCGCCTGGCGTAGCTGCTCTGCCTGCCGTGGGTCCAATGCGGTATGTATGCCATGGCTCGGCGTCCGCACCCCATCGTGCAGCCAATGTCGTGAGTTGAACTCTTCAAGAGCAGATCAGCTTGCAAGCATTTAATAGCCAAGTCCGCGGCTACTTGAGGCCATATAAAATCAGATTGGACGGATGCCGATAAGTTGCAATGGGCTGACCATCCTGCTTCTCCAACAAGAGATGGATGAAGCTGAGACTGATAAGACGTCCAGAAATCAACATCTCCAACTTCACATTCCAAAGGGTCACCTGCCCACTAAAGTTGCCATCCATGAGCACAATGCTTGTACGGCACTTGCGACACAAAGTGAGAGTGCTGAATGACACAGGATATTGTGCAACAGCCGATATGTTCCGTTTTCATTATGGATGCTGCCTTCAAACCAATACACGCAAAAGCTCGTGTTGGCTCTAGCAGCAGTGTCCAGGTGCAAGTTTTAGAATCTTAAGACGAACGAAAACAACAGTTCGTCTGCAGAAGGCAGCAGCCAAACTCCACCATGCGATCACAACAGTAAAGGTTTCCCGTCCGCGTAGCATGACGTCGCCGGCCGTGCGGCCGTGTTTGTGTCCTGCATTTGCGTCACTGGGCGTAGCAGACAGTGCCGTCAAAGGCGTCACGCCACGTGAGGCAGTTGTCCTTCGCTAGGAGGAAGTTGCGCGCTGCAGCTGCCTTTCTGGCTCTGCTCCACGCGCTCATGCCGCCTGGAGGCCAGCATTTTCCATCGGAGATGCAGCGAATGGAAAAACACAACGGTCTTATCTTTAAGATATTTCATGGCCAAGCGAACGTAAAATACCACACGCATCACATCACTCGATGTGATGGGCAACTCGTTGTTTGCAGAATAGTTGCTTTCTCGGGTCTTCGTGGTATCGAGAGGTGGGTGACGATTCGGATTTGTGCACCGCGCTAAACTCAAACGTGCCTCGCAGGTGTTTTTTTTGATCTTTTAGAATGGATTTTTCCTGCAACATTCCTCGTCTCTACATTTGCTCTAGTTGCATTGCTTTGGGTTTTTTCGGTGCTCCGATCAAAGAAGCTGTCCGAACACCACTTTTTGCATGTCGGAGATTTGAGAGGCAGTTCGAATACCACTTTTTTGCTGTCCTGAAACCCGTCGACATTATGTGTTGGGTTTCGCGGTTTTGTGCGGATAGAGGAGCCTCCCAACCCGGACCTTGTTTCGACCTTCATTTTGACAGATTTGACAGGCTCATGTTCAAGGCAGAAAACCTTCGAAAACGTGTGCACCATAACGTGTCTCCCCAGTACCTATGCGATGAAGTGCTCCAGGACGCCATCCGTGCCCATGCGAAGGCCCATGATTTGTGTTTCCTGTGGACATCAAACAACGCAGCATGCACTGTGGCATTTTTGTTTTTGGAGTTTGTGGCTTGTCACGACGGGAGCTCTCGGTTTCGACGTCCAACCTAATTGTCGGAAGGCTTTCGCTTTGCAAGTGGTCCACTTCGCAACGGCCCAAAAAGTTGCGGTGTGACCGAAGCGGCAACAGACGCAGGTGGGAGCTTCACAGTCGGCACGGTGCGGTTGGCCGGGAGCCATTGTGGGACTGTGGATGGTGTGACCAAAAAAAGGAGTGGTGGGCGTCTTGTCCATTACAGGTCTCCAGTTGGCGTGGCGGCGTGTTAAGCTGCGTATGCAATGCAATGGATGAAATGGCTTTGCGAGTGGTAGTGGCATCAGCGTGTAAAAAGCAGAAAGCACCAGTTGAACTTTGCGTGGAGTTGGACGACGCTGTGGCAGCTGCCCCAGACGTGGGATTGATTCCGAAGAGCATGGGCTGCGCTCTCAGCCGTCTTACGCGTCGTGCCCGGATTTTGCCAAACTTGTGTATGCCGTTGAAGATTTCTTGCTGCTTGTTGCAAAGCAGCCGCTCAGCAGGCATGCTGTTTCATGCAGTTAGCATGAAATTTGTTTTACCCACCCGCACGCTCTTAGATGGTGGCCGTCTTGCAACATTGGCCTGTGGTACGCAGCCCGGTACTTTAGGTACGAATGCCCGGCTGTGTAAAGTGACTGCAAAATGTTTGTGTGAACCCATAAGTTCCAGCGCGTGTTCGGCTTTGTTTTTCAGGAAGCTGTCTCCAGGAAGAGTGTATACAGGCCGAGCTTGTAAAGAAGTTGTATAGATTCCAAATTTGTAGCTCAATGTCACTCCGCTCGTAATTCATTTTGGGCAATAACAGGCAATGTAGAAAGCCGACTTCACGGCCATGCAGCTTTACTTGTTTTTAAAGTTTTAAATTCACGTCTCACTTGCATGTATCCATGCCTGTTGCGCAAGGTTCTGGCAAGTGTTAGCCTGTGTTCTTGTACGCTTTGCAAGGGGATACACGCCCAGGTTACATCACAAGCGTGGGTCGGCGTACAGAGAACCGGGATCATACTGATCATACATACACTGTTTTTTGGTCTTTTTGTCCTTGATCCTGGCATACAACCTATGCACCTATTTGTAGTCAATTGTGGACCGTGACTTCTTGAACATGTCATAGGTGTGGTAGACCTTAATTGACCATATATGATCGTCTGCAGCGTCAGGTGCCCAAACAGTGCTGTCGTTTTAGCAAGTTTTGTCGCAGAGGTGTAAGGCAGTCAGAGCAACTGTTGCCAATTTGGTCCAACTGTTCCCGGCTGTAAGTAGACTTGGGTACAAAGGGTGCCACATTCAGGGAAGTCTCGCAACACAACAACCAAAACGGAACGGAACTCATCTCCAGCTTGCTGTCGGCTGCATGTCCATGCTTACAACAATGACACTAAGCATGGCTGTGAGGTCTTTGCTGCTGTGGGCACTGGCTGAAGTCAGTGGCGGCAACCCTTGCCTCGGTAATCATTGCAGTGCCGGTTGTACGAAAGGGTATTGCAACTCTCCAACGACAGGCCAACCTAAATGCCAGTCGGGGTGGTGGGGTTTGGACCTGTGCAAGAAGGCTTGCGACTTTGAACACAGGCATTGTGCCAACAGCAGCGGTTGCTCCCTAGACGAGGGCTACTGTTTGGGTGTGCAGTCTGGGATGCCACTTTGTCGGCCTGGCTGGTGGCATCCCGCTACATGCGATCGAGCTTGTGATTTCGAGCATAGGCACTGTGCCAATCGCAGCGGTTGCTCCCTAGACGAGGGCNNTGTGCAGTCTGGGATGCCACTTTGTCAGCCTGGCTGGTGGCATTCCGCTACATGCGATCGAGCTTGTGATTTCGAGCACAGGCATTGCGCTAATCGCAGCGGTTGCTCCTTAGACGAAGGCTATTGTTTGGGTGTGCCATCTGGGATGCCACTCTGTCAGCCTGGCTGGTGGCATCCTGCTACATGCGATCGGGCCTGTCCTGGAAGGTGTGCCGAGAACAACTGCTCTTTGGCCATTGGCGCTTGCAGGTGCCAGGATGGCTGGACTGGCCAGACGTGTTCGGTACCAGCAGGCAGCTCTGACAAACTGAAGGAGTTGGCTGAACACTTCCAAGAACTAGTGTTCGATCGTCTCAAGGAAAAGCTGCCAAGTGTCTTTCGGTGCATCTACGATGCAGTGTCCTTCATCGAAAGCTTCAACGAGGGGTTGGATTCAATGAAGCAGACCGTGGCAAGCACTGCCGATGCCACGGAGAAGACGTACAAGGAGATCAAGTATGCACACGATGTGGCCGCATCTTTCATGGATTCCTTCAAGGATTGCTCTGGGGGCGGCGCGGCTTTGCAGCGAGGGTTGGCAAAGGTAGGGTCAGCAGTGGACCGCATGGAGACTGTGGCGAAGATGGCATGGGAGGAGTTTTCTGACAAGTGGGCCAAATTGTCACCAGTCTCGAAGGCTGCTTGGACCGCTGCAGGTGCAGCATTCCTTGCGCTTGCAGCATTGCCCTTGGAGCCTGCCGTGGCACTCGCTAGCCTGGCATCGGCCATGGCCGAGGCTCTCGAAGCGGCAGCCGGGCTCCCACCACTAGCACTAGCATTGGCAAGCATCGAGCCCACCAACCATGCCGTTGGGCACCCCGAGCTACTGCATGTTTGACAGACTAGCCTAGCCTTCGGGCAGATGCGTTTGCAGAGAATCAACATACATGCCCTTCTGATGCATAACCTGCAGGGTCTTGTTTGTGTGCTGTTCTGCCGGTTGTGAATTCAGGAGTTGCGCGTGCCCGAGTGATGTAAATGTTGTCATGGCTGCCCCAAGTCGCCAAGCCTGGAACGGTTTTGACCGATCCATTGACAGCTCGCCACCGTTTTGTCAAGCACGTGCTTGGAGCTTGCTGTATGTGCAATTCCTTTGCAGCTGCAGTGAGCTCGAGTGTGTAGACTTTGTACAACCCAGACATCCTTTCACCTTTCGCGGGTGCCCGCCTGAGCGATTTGCAGAAGTCGCAAAGGATCGTTTTGGGTGACTGAAGAGGCAAAGGTTATGGTGAATGTCCCCTTCAGCCAGTCTGGACGGGGTTTGCAGCTTCTGTCGTGGTAATAGCCAATTAAAACTGGTCTTGACGTTGTTCGCTTGGGCTCCCGGAAGAGAGGCACCTTGTTCCTGAATCCTTCTAGCTGGTAACCGTGACGGCAGGCGAAGCAAAACGAAGCGAGCGTTGCCAAGGTTGATCATGCTTGGTCCCTTCAGCCTCCGTTTCCACAATGCCAGAATGGAGAAGTTGGCCAACAGGCCGACAGAAAGGAGGATCAAGTCTGATGTACGGAGTTTTATGTCGTTCAGTCAGGACAAGTCGTTGAGGGTTTGCTAGTGCGAGCGCTCCAAAGTGCACTGTTTGAGAGTTCGTCTCTCGAGCAACAACGACATTGCCGTTTTGCAGCCTCTTGCTATTCGGTTGGAATTGCATGCCGGGTCTCTAGAGAAAGTTAAGCCGAGCTTGCAAGAAGGGTGCATGCAGGTGCTGTGTGGCAGCAACGAAAGAATGCGAGCATGCCCGTCTTACTCTCCAAACTTGATCGAGCCCCAAGCAAGTGGTGCAAGTAAGTGAAGGGACCCTTGAATGATCCTTTAGAGCAAGGGTCATCTGCCTCGCCGGCACGGCGATGGTATTGGTTGTCCTCCGAAGTGCGCCCGGCGCCCAGGTGTACATCCATAGCCAGATCGGTTCATTGGGATCCCGAGTTTTGCAGCACAACTTTGCAAAGACAGATGGGGAATGCTCTCGCCTGCTTCTTGTTGATTTTGCGAGGTGTTTCTTCCTGACCAAGTGGAATGTGCCACAGGACATGTGAACATTCTGCTCTTGAAGGAAGGCTGATGGGAGTTTTTTGTTTTTCCGTTTCCACAAGCACTGTGTCGGTGCAAATGTGAACTCCCGAAAGATTCATGCAGGCTCTGGAATTCTCAGTCGCTTCCTAAATCATGTGGTCTGTTGGGGTTTGGCGCTGCCAAACAGAGTTGCTGTGCGATGCAGCAAGGCCCGACACCAAAGCAATCAAAGCATAAATCCTTGATCCTTAGGTGTCCGGGAATAGTTTGCAAGCAGGGCTTTCGGTCTCCTTGTGGCTGCGAGGTATAAGATTGTGGGTGCGAAGCTGATGATTGAACTGCCTGGTGATGTTACCCTGCCGTCCTCAGCACAAGCCGGAAAAGCCTCAGGAGTTTCATGCCGAATCTACGAGCGCGGGGCAAGTCCAAAGCCGCTTGCAAAGTGTTGCCTGATGCTCCTGTGCATCTAGAGTCTATCCGTGTGAATCAGTGGTTGCGGGCCACTCCGCCTTGAGATAGCGTGCTCTACGGTGTTCCGTGCATACCAGTGCATGTGACCGGGAAGGTTTGAATTCACCAGCTGGAATGATCGGCTTTGGCATCTTCACCATGCTGTCCTAGCCTTGAGGGATTGGGACAAGGGTGCTGAGTGGGCAAACTGCATGAGCATGCCCTGAAGTCAGAGAAACCGAACGAAGGCACAGATAGGAGCGTCCCAAGCGAAGATGCTACAGTCAACAGAGTAGCGTTCCTGCACCCGCTGGGCGGAGCCTGTAATCTTCTGTCCTATTCACCCAGACTCGCCAAGCTGCCCAGCCAAAGATGGTACTTCGCATCTCGCCATTGAGGCTTTCGCTGGTGGTGCCCTGCTGTGGCTATCTGGGCAACTTTGCTTGATTGTCTTCGGCACAACAGCTGAAGTGTGATTTGTGCGTTTATACCTGAAAATCTTTCCTTGTCGAGGTGCCAAGAACAACAACAGATCGTGCGTCTGTTGCTTCGCCTGGTGCAACTGCTTCGGAGGCTGCCTGCAGGCATGCCCTGTAGCCTTGCGGTGGGACAGCTGGGTATTTAGACTCAACAAGTGTGCTGAGCCGTAGTGCCTAGACTGACGAGTGACCAGTCCGTTTCTTGACAGTCTGCATTTCAGCTGTGACTGCATGTGGCGTTCTACAAGGCGAGACGAAAACTGCACATCTTCATGGCAACAACAATTGTGGTTTGCCGATGTTTGCCGTGTTCGCACTGCATGCTCGAACAGCTATATATTTGCGGCATGGTAGGAATCGTGTCTTGTTCGATTCCTACTGTTACTGTTTTTCAGGGCCGATGTTGCAGAGAATCTAGTGTGTTGTGTCGAGGATGACGGGAGCTTGAGAGATTCGCTTCAGAACTGTAAAAGGAGGCTGGAGCCATTTAGAGCTTACATTTGGTGTGAGGATTTGAGGCCTTAGGATCGGAGCTGACGGGATGGTTGGGTATGTTGACCACAATCTTCCACTGCCCTCTGTTGGCCAGTTGTTGTACTGCGTGCTCATCATCCTCTTCTTTGCGGTGCTCGGAGGTCGGGCTGGGCCCCTGTAGAGCCGGAACCTCCAGCTTGGACTTGGGAAGTTAGCAAATCTGGCTATTCAGTTCCTGCGTATCGCCATCCGAGCGATGCAGCAGTGTGAAGTGAAGCCTCTGCTGTCTGAAGCACTTGTGCTGTGGCCTTGCGCTAGGGCCTAAACCGAAGCTGGAACCTCACTGATGGGTGCTTGGAGTGCGAAGTACTTTTGGTTTGCATTTTCCTGCTTTTTGCCCGGAGCCCAAGCCAAGAAAAGCAAGCCTTTCGCTTCTGACCGCAGTCATGCAAGAGACCTGCAAGCCGCTTTTTGGTGTTCCAGACACTCGGCTTTATTGAGACATCGACATCTCATGGCGTTGAGTCCTTCAGTCCTTGTGGATTCTTGTTCCAGAGTTTTTGAGGCTCTGCTGACGCACAACTCTTCGCTTTTGCTACTTGTAGTATGATTGTTGGGGTAGAAGTGTCCAGCGTGTCAACAGACTTCACATGCTGCGGAGTGCCTTGTATGTCTTCAAAATTGTGAGATAGGACATATTCGCAGAAAGGCATCCCCAGCCCTGCCTGCAACGTGCAGCATGACTGCAGAAATAAAGACTGCGCTCTAGCCGGTGTTTGACACTTGTGTTCCAAGAACTTGCTAAGAGCAGGCCTTGAACATGCTAAGCCCAAGCCAGAGTGGCAGAGTGAGTGTTAGGATTGCTTGCCGGTTCGTTTTGGAAATACTGTCCATCTGTGCATATCTATTTATCTATCTGTCTAGTTATCTATCTATGTCGCTAGCTATCTATCTAGCTATCTGTCATCTATCTAATCAATCAATCAATCAATCTACCCATCTGTCTATCTGTCTATCTATCTATCTATCTGTCTATCTATCTATCTATCTATCTACCTATCTATCTATCTGTTTGTCTATTTATCGATCTATCTATCTATCTATCGAATCTGTCGATCAATCGATCTATTTTTCTATCGTTCTATCGATGCATCGATCTATCGATCTATCTATCGATCTATCTATCGATCGAGCGATCTGTCTATCTATCTACCGTCTGTATGTTTGTATGCATGCATGCATGCATGCATGCATGCATGTATGTATGTATGTATGTATGTATGTATGTATGCAATGTATGTATGTATGTATGTATGTATGTATGTATGTATGTATGCACATAAGTGGTGTATGTACGCACGCCCCCACGTGCGGCCCGCACGCCCCCACGCCCCGCACGCCCGCACGCCCGCAGGCCCACACGCCCGCCCGCCCGCCCACCCACCCG